CAAGAGGCAGCTGCTACATATTCTGCTTTCTGCAGTTGAGAGTGCCACTGAGTTATGCTTCCTTGTACCCCATGAGATTAGGCAAGAACCCAGGAAATGTGCATTCCAGATGTACTTTTCCTGTCCACCAAATATCCTGCATAATCAGCGTCAGCATACCCAATAAGATTAAAGTTGTCACCTGAGGGATAGTAGAGAACCAGGTCCTGCGTTCCTTTTAGATATCTCAATATTCTCTTGGCAGCCTTTAGATGAGATTCCTTTGGATTTTGATTGAAACCTTGCACAGAGACCCACGCTGAAAACAATGTCTGGTCTGCTTGCAGTGAGATACAGGAGTTACCACACTCTAACTTCCAGTTTCGCATCTTATTATTCATCACTTTAAACTTAACAATTTTGTGTAACTACATTTACTTAAGTTGTTTTAAGCGATCACTATCATTTTGGAGTTTTATTTTGATCTGGAAAGAGAAAAGAAGTGAACAAGTTCTTATTAAAAAATTAACGTTATTTTAGAAATTGAATGGATATAAGCAGCTAATACGATATCCTCAAATTTCAAATATTATACTTGTGCTTTTTAGCAAAAGTAACAAAATAAATTATTATTACTTTCACGGGCGGGGCGGCCCGGGTTGAAAGCAGGAAAAATGCTATGCAGGGCAGGACGGGTTTAAATTTTTGCGGGTTAAGTTTCAACCCGCCCCGCACCTGCGCCGTCCCGCCCCACTGTCATTTCTAACCCTAGTTATGAGGTTACACTGAATTTTTTGCTGATGTTGTTATATAAGCTAGGGACCAAATGTCGTCCCTTGTGAAAACAGAACACTATGATATATGCGACCTCTCGAGGTAGTAAGGAGCTTCTTTTTGGGTGAGAATATAGGACGACAATATTAAGATCACTTTGATCAGAAATATGATACTATATTCCTTTCTTGATCAAGTGATCAGCTTTATTCCAAAAAAGGAATTTGAACCAAAGTTAGTCATGTATCAACCAAACTACAAGAAGCTTCCAAATTTCTTTGTGCTACCTCCTCGTCCTCCTTGTCGGTACGGATAATAATATTGTGGACTTGATTTCAACAGCACGTACCAATGAGGATATATTCTGAAAAAGGATTTCATTTTTTTCAAATACAAAGTAGGATTTCAAAATCTTTGGTTGTATTGGAAAATATTATTCTAGCTGGATATCTTTCTTTTCCCTTGAGCAGATACATTGTTTTCAAGGGGGGAATTATGAAATATATTCTGTTCATGTCGAATACTAATTACAACAACAATAATAACATACCCAATGTATATGTGGAGTCTGAGGGAGGTAATGTGTACACAGACCTTATTCTTACCTTGTGGAAGTAGAGAAGCATTTTCGATAGACCCTTGGCTAAAGAAAAACATTTCAAAGCAAGTTTGAAAAAGAAAACTGTAGTGAAGAAGCCATGCTAAAAATAATAAAGACAAAGTAGAAAACTAACTAATAAAGAAAAAAGTTGGAGTCAATTACTCAAATGGTCACTCAACTATCTCAAGTTATCTCCTAAAGTCACTTTTCTTTCGTTTGTAACAACAAAATCACTGAACTATGCATATTGCACTCATAAGGTCACTCAACTAGATTTTCCAAATTTTGGATTGCCAAATACCTATTTTGCCCTCTAAATTATAAATATTTATCTTCTTTTATTTTTTAAAACTTTTTAATATTATGATTTTCCTTACTAATTTATAATATGGACTTACCTATAGAATAAATAAATATTATTCATAATTAAAAAATAAAAAAAGTAGTTAAGCATCTATAATGCCGGAATAATAAAATAATGATCATAGTAAAAAATTAATTAGAATAATTTAATTGTAACAATACTTATAGTATTAACAACAAAAATACCAAAATTTATTTACAATTCAAAATGAAAGAAAATAAAGGTTATAAAATATATATTCCATGCACGTAATATAAAAATAATTATTTAAATAAAAATATTTTTATAATATACATTATATATTCTTGAAAATTATGTTCAATTATATTATATATATTTCATGTACGACTTAACATAGCATATTTTACCCTATACAGATAGTCCCCTGCTTTCCGGTGACATAACTTTGTGTCGTCGGAAAGTTGGTAGAAACAATAATATAATTGAGCATATTTTTTTTGGTAATTATTGTTTTCATTAATAACCAAAAAGTATTTACAAATCGATCAGACTTTATACTCAGCCTGATTTTTCTCTAAACATTTAACTNTATATATTTTACAACCTTTATTTTCTTTCATTTTGAATTGTGTAAATAAATTTTGAATTTTTTGTTAATACTAAAATTATTATTACTAACAAATAATCTGATTAATTTTTTTACTATGCTCATTATTTTGTTATTTCAGCATTATATATGCTTAAATACTTCCTATTTTTTTAGTTTTAAAAAAAATTATTTATTCTATAAGTAAGTCCATAATATAGATTAAAAAGGGAAAATCATAATATTAAAAAGTTTTAAAAAAATAAAAAGAAGATAAATGTTTATAATTTAGAGGGTAAAATAGGTATTTGGCAATACAAAATTTGAAAAATCTAGTTGAGTGACCTTCTGAGTGCAATAGGCTTAGTTTAGTGACTTTGTTGTTACAAACGAAAGTAAAGTGACTTTAAGAGATAATCTGGGATATTTGAGTGACCATGTGAGTAATTGACTCAAAAAAGTTGCTATAAATGGATTTGGAATTTTTACCTCCTACAGCAAAGGTTAACACCTTATTTATTTTAAATAAATACCATTTAAAAAATTATATTCTATAGATACCTTTTAAGGTTTATAGCAAAATATTTAATTTTGGTTACCTCCTAGCCCTAAGCCACTAAATACGCTAATCAGTTACGCTATTTTCTTTCTCTCTCTACTTTGATACATCTCATTCTCTTCCCCCATCCCATTAAAATTTCCGATCTCCTCCTCCTTCCACCGAATTTGTGCAAAGCCCACTTCAGAGATGCTGATTTCGAATTGTTTAGTTCGTATGATACTTTTTCTGAAGTTGCTATTACTATACAATTCGATGTGCATGAAGAAGAGAAAGAAGATGACTGTGAAACGGAAAACAAACAAGAAAGAGATCGACGAAGAAATTGATAGGGAAAATTGGTTTATTACATCCAAGAAATAGAAAACTCATGATGTTTTCGGGGTTCCTCCTCTTAGAGAATTCAGAGATTTTAGCTTTCAATTGAATGTCAAAGAGAGGAGATTCCCTGATTTCCTGTCCTCAGTTCAAGATTATCCTTTTTCAGCAGAAAGTAAAGACCGTATACCAAATCCAAGATCCCATCTTTTTCCTGAGCACTCATTCAAATTGAGGAAGATCAATGTATGCTGCTCGGCATTTAATTGATTTTCTGTTAATATATTTCAATGTATTTTCATGTATTTCATTGTATTCATTGTCTTTATTTTCATTGTAATTCAATGTATCTCGTTGTATTCCATGTATTTCATTGTATTCACTGTCTTTTTTTTCTATTGTATTTCAATGTAATCCGTTGTATTCTATGTATTTCATTGTATTCACTGTCTCGCAATATGCCATGAATGAATTCATATTTTTTTAATTAATATAATTTATGTATTCAGATGTATTATATAATTTCCCTATTTCACGCCATGAATACAGTCGAATACAATTGAATACAATAATTTGTCCAGCTGTAATCCCATGTTTCACTCCATGAATACAGTCGAATACACTCGAATACAACAACTGATTAGCTGGACTTCCCTGATTCACGCCTATTTTTGCTACTGTATTCATGAATACAATAGCTTAAATACATCAAATACATCTTATAACCACAGAAAAGGTATCTATAATCCGTAACATAGCAAATGGTATTTATAGACGGCTAATTACTACTAAAAGATAGTGCTTTATGAAAATTTCTCAATGGATTTCACTACAAAGTAGAGTTGACTATACAGGACCGCTAAACAAAGGCTGATCTAAGATTTTAAGTTATGAGTTCTGAACCTAAAGTCTTTTTTGCTTCTTGGGTTCTGAATAGATTATTTTTACATACTCCCTCTGTTTCAAATTAGATGAGGTACTTTCCTTTTTAGTCTGTTCCAAAATAAATGACATATTTCTAAATTTTGAAATAATTCAATTTTAAACTCTTCATTTTACCCATTTTACCCTTAATGAGAAGCTTTTATAACCACACAAATGTCATGGCCCCACAAAGCTTTTACCCCTTAAGCTTTTAAGACCACAAGTTTTAAAAGTCTTCTTCTTTTTGTTAAATTCCGTGCCGAGTCAAACTACCTCATTTAAATTGAAACGGAGGGAGTATTAATTAAGAAATTTTTTAACATAAATACGTACAAGATTTGGGTCATAGCTACTTTGATCTGCCGAACCCGTAACTTCAACGTTGGATATGTCCCTGTCGCTAAACTATACAACAATGTAGAAAGAGGAAAAGTTATTCCTGAAAGTGAAAACTGACACAACTTAGTATATTAACCAACCAAGAAAGAAAAAAACTAAGAAAGAAGCTGGAAAAATGCCAAAAACCGAGTAATTAACAATCGAGTTGAACTTTAGCTAGTGATAAAAGGACAGTCTGGTGTACAAAGCATCCCGTATTTCCGTAGAATCTAAGGAAGGACCGCGCTCCTAGGGTTGTAATGTAGGTAACCCATCCTAATTCAAGGCATATCAAGTTGATTCCACGGTTCGATATATGACTTATAATTTTTGGGAATATTTTAAAGATGATTATATTCTTTTGACTTTCAGCTTGATTATGTAATGATACTTTAGAATCAATCAAGGTAGATAAGGCACACAATATGCCCTTATCATACAAGTGATCAAGAACAATCCACCAATTCTTTTAGCAATTTTCACCCTTTCTTTTACAACTAACATACAACTCTAAGGCCTCTATATATAGCTTCATGATAGGTTCATGTTTCTCACAACAAATCAAGCCTGAAATTCACTTCACAAACCTTCGTTATTTCGTGTTGCCTTCACAACTTTCTTTACTCTTAACCAAAAGCTACATATCTTGGCATTTTGCCAAACACATTATTTCTTCAACATACAAACAATATGGATATGGTGATGAAGTTGGGAGCAGCAAGTCCAGTGGTGATATTCAGCAAGAGTAGTTGTTGCATTTCTCATAGCATCGAAACCCTAATCCGTAGTTTCGGAGCAAACCCTACAGTTTACGAGCTCGATAGACTTCCAAATGGGAAGCAAATAGAGAAGGCACTAATAGAACTAGGGTGTCAGCCAAGTGTGCCAGCAGTTTTTATAGGGAATGAGTTCGTTGGTGGTTCTAATGAGATCATGAGCCTTAATGTGAGAAGCAAGCTAAAACAATTGCTCATTAGGGCTAATGCCATTTGGGTATAGAAATTAATAATGACTAATTGGTACAACTTTAGGAGTTTTGAAAATAAATCACAGTATTTTATCTTCGGATGGTTGTCTTTTAGATCTCCCATTTTGCTTCTTGATCATGTATTAATAAAGTTATACTTTAGTAATAGCTAGTCACTTCTTTTGGTAATCGAGTGGCGATTTTGCTTTGTTCATAGCTGATATATGACATGAAAGAAGTTAGTAACACTGACCATCCTTATGTACTGCATTTTAATTAATCTAAGGTATTACTAGAGCTAATGTCTTATATCATAGTGTCTGGTTACATGTCGTTTGAGTTTCTGTTTTATCGTTACAATTTGTCCTATGACATAAACGACATCAAGCTCATAATCATCTCTACCTAAACACATATACTCCTATAATTACTCGTTTAGGAATTTTTATTCCTATGCCATATAGGAAACTATATTACCCTCAATTTTTAAGGTTTGATATAATTACATTTAGTATATCTAATTACCAATTCTATACCATAAGGTGTTTTAACTGTACATTAATTGTACCTTATATCACCCTAAATTTATTGTACCGTATATTCCTCCAAATCCCCATCCCCCCACGTTTCTCTCTCCCAACCCCACACCCTCACCCACGTATCACCACACACCCAGAAACCAGAAAAACCAGAAAAACAATTGAAACCCTCTGCTAAATCCAGAAAAACAATTGAAACCCTCTACCATTAACGTCCAAAATCAAGGTTTTTTCTTCTACAACCAGTCAAAATTGAAGTCAAATCTTCAAAGTTTCATACACAACAATAACTTTTGATGGTTATGATTTCGGGTTCCTTCAGTAATATAAGAGGAAAGGAAAAGAGAGCAGCAATTCCACCATTGACAGCCATTAAAAAGCTTTGAAGCTTTGAATTTAAATTTGGGTTTTCAAAAATCATTATTTGTTTGGATTGGGTGTTGTTGTAAATAATTGGGAATATGGTTTGGAGTTTATATCTCAATTTTGAGGGGTTTTGGTGAAGATTAGACTTGGTTTTGGTTGAATTTCAGATTGAAATTCAAAGAAGAAGACGTATATTGCAGAAATTGTAGAAAAATTGTAGACTGTTGTTTATTTATTTTTGAGGCTTTGTGTTTTTGTGTTAAAAGTTTTGATGGGAGCTTGTTATTCCACTTCGTCTGTTTTGGAGCTAACTTGTGCAGAGGAGAAGATGTTTTTTAAGTTATATATATATTGCTAAAACTTTAAATTCAAGAAAGTATGGTTGTATTGTATTAAAGAGGCGTGAATTTGTAGAATAGGTTGAATGTGAGGAATGAGTCAAATAAGACTCACAATGGCTTATTTTCTACATTTAATCTACAACAAAACTACATATCATTTGAAAAATTAATATGAAAATACAGAATTTCAATGTTTCTACAAATTATCTACAAAAATTCTTAAGAAGATCTATCCCTTCATCATGTTTTTTGGGATTCCATATTTAGCATAGCAGTTTCTAAGGAGTAACAAGAGCATATAGGAGAATCACAGAATTATAGCATAATTGGGATTTTTGACATAACTGCGCTTTTTGCAGAAGATTTGTAGAAGTTTTAGTCGTTTTTTATTTGTGAAAACAGAAAACAAAGCATCTACAATCAAAACACAAATAATCTACAATTTATTTACAAAATATCTACAAACTGGGTACAAACTTCAGCTCTAGAGCTGAAGTTTTTGTTTTGTAACTGGCGAACTTCAGCTCTAGAGCTGAAGTTTTTATTTTGTAACTGGCGAACTTTAGCTCTAGAGCTGAAGTTTTTGTTTTGTAACATAATCTACAATTTTTCTACAAAATATCTACAAACTGGGTACATTGAATTTTAATATCCCAATTCCCATTCAATTGTAGCATAATTGGGATTTTTGACATAATTGCGTTTTTTCAGAATATTTGTAGAAGTTTTAGCCGTTTTTTATTTGTGAAAATAAAAAATAAAGCATCTATAATCAGAATACAAATAATCTACAATTTATCTACAATTTCTGCAATATGTCTTCTTCTTCTTCTTTCTTCGAGTTTCAATCTGAAATTCAAGCGAAACCAAGTCTAATCTTCACCAAAACCCCTCAAAATTGAGATATAAACTCCAAACCATATTCCTGATTATTTTCAACAACACCCAATCCAAACAAATAATGATTTTTGGAAACCCAAATTTGAATTCAAAGCTTTCAAGCTTTTTAATGGCTGTCAATGGTGGAATTGCTGCTCTCTTTTCATTTGCTTTGTATTACTGAAATTTGCGATTGAGAAATAGAGAGAGATGTAGAGAGAATGTCGACGAACTGAGCTTTTGCAGAACTGATTTCTACAATTTGATTCGAATTTGTTGACGATTTTGTCTTTTTTTGATTTGTGGCTTAAGGAAAAATATCGAAGAATAGAGTTTTTGCAGAAAAGAGTCTATGTAATTTGATTTTAAATTGAAGATATAGGATTTGTGTTTCAAATTTGATCTGAAGGTCGCTAAATCAATTAGAATATTCTGTTCCTGATTTGTAGCGCGCCTAATTAGGAAGAAATCAGCTCCTAATAATTAGTATTTAATGAATGGTATAATAATTGTAGAAAAACTGTGAACATGGTGGGTAAATATGAAACTATGCACATTTTTGGTAATAAAGTTTCATATATGGTATAGGAAGGAAAAAGTCTCATTAGTTTATCTTGATTTTAGTTAAGCGATAATGAACTCAAAATTATGCAATAACTAGAAAATTTACCTGCGCTCTGCGCGGTTATTAAAGACCTAATAGTATTTTTCTAATATCACATGTTAGATATAAATTAATCTTATATATAAATATATTAGATTTCAAGTATTAATTAATTATAAAAATAATTTTATATTTTTTTATAATTCTTCATCGTTCCGGTTTAATTATCTTCTCGAGATAGTCGATTCCTTTTCTAATGACCTATTTAGATAAAACTATACCATTTAAACTCAAATTAACATAATTCTCAAAAAGCAGTCCAATAAAATTAAGCTACTGATATTGATGAGTCTGAACATACACACGCTTAGATTATTGGCTCCCTCATAGTATTTGATACTTTACCTACGAATTGTTCTCTTATACTCGAAAATACACACGCTAAACTGTTGGAAAATACAAAAAGGAAGAAGGTTAAGAATTATTCAATTCACATTGAGAAAAAGAAGGAAAGGTTCAAGTGAAGCACATAGAATTCCGGTTCATGCAAAATTGAAGCCTCACCGGCTTTGACGAATTGCCTTATGGTGTTCCGTCTAGAAAACTTCGTTCATTTGTTTATTATTGAAACGGGAAGAGGTGATAAAATTGTATGCTATTGAGAAGAATATAATATTAATGAATATAATGGATAAAGTTCGACTAAAGAATTTTCAAAAAGAACAGCTAGTGGTGAAGGAAAAAAATTAGAAAAGGAGATTAAGATACTGCTAATGTCTTGAGGAAGAAGAAACAAAGTCAAAATTTTAACACATCAATAATCATCAACAATAACAAATAAATTAAGTGTAATTGCATAAGTGAGGTATGGGGAAAATAGTATATGTAGACATTACCCTAGAACACATCAATAATATTAAAATTAAATATACAAGGTATATAAGAAGTTCAAAAGAATGACTCTTGGGGCTTTTCAAATAAAAAATAATGAAAAAATTGACAAAAACAAATTAAAGAGAAAAACATAAATGTGTTTTACTAAGTACGAATACGAAGATAAGAGAAATTGGAAAGTATCTACTATAAAAAAATCATATACTTTATAGGAAAAAAATAAATTGAAAGAATTCAAAAAAAGAAAAATAATTAACTCCAAGATCAGCGAAACCATAAAATAACAGAATCAATTAGCATGTTCCGTCTTATTTCTTACATTCAATCAACAAATCATCCCTATATCTCTTCTTAATTTTCTGTAAAATTCTAAAATTGTTATAAAATAATAAAAGAACAAGAGCAATATTGCAGAAAAAGAGAGAGAGGGAGATAATTCTTATTGATTTGGAATGAATTACAATGGAATAGAACCCTCTATTTATAGGGAGATGGTGACTTAGCCACCAAGTAATAAACCCTAGAATCTCTCTAAATATGGACATTCACCATAAATAGGATTCTATTTATAACACTCCCCCTGAATGTCTATTCAACAGATAATGTGCCTCGTTAAAACCTTAACTAAAAGAAAACCCAATGGGAAAAAAAATTCTAGAAAAGGAAAAAGAGTACACATATCTAATAATACGCCTTTTGGTTGCCTCGTTAAAAACCTTGCAAGGAAAACCCAGTGGGACAAAACCTTGTAAGGGAAAAAGAGTGCAACGCGCATTAACTCCCCCTGATGAGAACATCAATTCACATCCTTGAGCCTTCGCATCCCAATCTTGTACACTAGCTTCTTGAAGGTTGACGTCGGTAGAGATTTTGTGAACAAATCAGCCATATTATCACTTGAACGAATCTGTTGCACATTAATATCACCATTCTTTTGAAGATCATGTGTGAAAAATAGCTTTGGTGAAATGTGCTTTGTCCTATCTCCTTTTATGAATCCTCCATTCAATTGAGCTATGCATGTTGCATTATCTTCATACAAAATTGTGGGTAGTTTGTCACATTTCAAACCACATTTATCTCGAATAAGATGTATTATAGACCTCAACCACACGCACTCTCGACTTGCTTTATGAATAGCAATTATCTCAGCATGACACAATTGATTGCTTAGTCGATCGCCAAGATATGGCAGTGCCTCCACAGGTAAACACATAACCTGTTTGAGACCGAGCCTTGTGTGGGTCAGATAAATATCCAGCATCGGCATAACCAACAAGATCAGGACTGCAATTATTGCCAGAAAATAAGCCCATATTGGTAGTTCCTTTTAGATACCGCAATATGTGTTTGATTCCATTCCAATGTCTCCTTGTGGGAGCAGAGCTATATCTTGCTAAGACATTAACTGAAAAAGTTATGTCAGGCCTTGTAATATTGGCAAGATACATTAGTGCACCAATTGCACTAAGATATGGTACTTCAGGACCAAGTAGCTCTTCATTCTTTTCTTGAGGTCCGAATGGATCCTTGTTCACATCAAGTGATCGAACAACCATCGGAGTACATAATGGATGTGCTCCATCCATGTAAAACCGTTTCAATACATTTTCTATGTAGGCAAATTGAT